GCAGAGAGAGAGGAAGCCCCTGTGTTTTCTCAGCATATTGTTCCCAGCTCCTCTTCCATGCCTCTCCTCCCAGTTCCTGCTTTGCTCGGGGCAGGAAGGCACTTTGGAAATTCCTTGCTGCTAGCCCCTTTCTTCTCACCCTCTCTTCTTCTCCCCCCTTTTGCTGTTGCAATTAAAAGCATCGTGAACCTTTCTCCAACATTTCAATCCTGCCCCCACCCTCAACATTTTCCTTTTACCCACCCCAACCCTGCATCACCAGCTCTGTCCAAAGCAGTGCCATTTATTGGGATCATCACAGAGGGGGATGTTTAATCGGGAAGCCCCGGCACATGCAGCTGCCCGGCGCCGGTCATTAGGTGATGTGTGCTCCTTGTGTGCTGGACCACGAAGCTAATGACACATCCTGGGGCTCTTCCAGGAGTTTGGGAGGTGCAGTGGGTTAGATTTACTTCATTTTCTTGGAAGAGACACATTAACCTTGTCAGCTGGCCAACAGGAGAGGAAATTTGGCAGAGCTCTTGCTGAGCTGGCCAGGTTACCACGGCGTTAAAGGGTTGTACTTCAGTGAGCAACCAGAAATGGCAACACACGGGCACAGCACCTGCACAGCCACCGTGGAGGCACCTCTGAGAGGCCTCCTCTCTTACAGAATTAGTTCCTGTAGCAAGAGAGAAGAAAGGATGAAAAAAATTCAGGAGCTTTTTAGTGTTGTCAGAGGTGTGGAGGATAAAACTTCACTTCAAAGTGCCTGTAAGGAGCCTGCTCTTATTTCTGGTGGTGGGAAATCAGTGCTGTGCCATGGTAAATACCTGCTGTCCACTGTCTTTCTAATTCAACCTTCAGAATTCGATCCAGCTTTTTAACAAGTGGTGAGTAACTCTGGATAATGACACGACTTTTTAGTCATCCTTTTAGTCATGCTTTTGGAAGAGCAAGGCTGCTCCTGCTCTGGAGCTGTGGAATTCTGATGGCAAGTTCCCAGGCTCTCCAGCCACGTGCTGTTGCCTACTCAGGCAGTTCTGGGTCACTGCATGAGCACGACTTTTTTTCCCACCCTGCACGTCCTCTTCTTCTTTGCCTGCTGATGTGACTCCACCAAAAATCTGTGAGGGACAAATGGAGGTGAAGGCAGAGGTGAATGAGAATGAGGAGGAGTCAGGATGGAGAGTGGATACCACCAGGATGAGGCTTCTGATGGCATTTGTAGGGTGGAAAACCCAGTGCACCACATGATGGGGCTGAGCTGTGTGGGATGTGGGCTCCTCAAGGAGCATCTCCAGTGCAAACCCACGGCTGGGAACACAGTGCAGCTCCTGGAGCGAGGCTGTGCTGGAAGCAAATCTGCTTTTTCTCTTCTCTGATGCTCCCTGCTTACCCTCCCCCCCTTCCAGTGCCCAGTATTTATGTTTCCACATAATAATGATGTGATGTGGCTGGCAGAGTAATTTAAATAATTGGACATTATCTTGAGAAGCAAGCACCTAATTAGATCAAAATAAACCGAGAACTGAAATTTTCATCTGTTTCTAATAACCTTTTACCTATGTACAGTGTTGCTGCTGCAGTGGGGATTTCGTTATTCACACCACTGTGTGTTCTCGGGGTTCACAGTGATGGAGACTCCTGCAGGAGCAGAGAGCTTGGTGGCACTTTCTGGACAAGATTGGTGACTTGTTCCTGCTTCTGTAGAGTGTTTTGCAGTGATCCTTTGCTGTTTGTGCCCCTTGTGTGAGGGGCAAACACAGTGAGGTTTGGAGTCTGTACCAGCAGGTACAGATCAGGGTTTGAATGCAGATATTTGGAGAGAAAAGGCTCAAAGAACTTCTGACCTTAGGGATCTCTTGTTCATTTCTCAAAGTTTGTCTAGCAGCTCATAATCTATTCATTTTGCTGCATATGAGGAAGAGGAAGCTCAGACCTCCTCCAGTGTCTGGTGTCATTGGGACCATCAGAGCGTGTGAAGGTGTTTCTCCTGTGGCACAGCAGCTTTGATTTGCTCCTGAGACAAGGACTCCACTGCTGAAAGTTCTTGATTTGGAACCAAGAAAGAGTCTGAAAAGAGTCTTGGTTTGGCTTTGACAACTACAGCTGGAAGTGTGTGGTATGGAGAGGGTCATTTAGAATTGCCCAGATTGCAATTAAGGGAGGAAAAGAGGGAAATATTTACTAGCCTTTATTTTAGGGACTGGTTCAGTGTCTTTCTCCTGATGAGTTGCTCTCCCTCACACTTCCTCGTGCTCTTATTCAGTTGATTTATTTAAAGGTATGTCAGTGCTGGCTGAAATGAAACACTGTGCCTCCTCTTCCTGCTTATTGCTGACCGCTCCAATAATTCATTTTTTAGCTCATTAACTAACAGGGGATGTGAGCAGTGGTCCTCCGGGGAACTGCAATGAGGTTAAGTGATCTACTGCTGACAACTCTGCTCTTGGACTGGCCTTCCTTGGGGGAAATGAAACCTCAACCAAGACAAGCTGTGGATCCCAGAAGTGAAATTGGGGCATCACAGCAACAATTGCAGTATTTATGTCTTGTTGTCAGGGTTTCCGAGATGAATGGGGGCGGCGGAGCTGCAGCTGTCTCCCAGGAAAGTCCCCAGGACTTCCCATCCAAATTAAATGGTTTGTGCCAGAGATGGAGGCAGGATGTTTGTGGACATTGGCTTTCTAGATGCTCTAGATAGGAAAGCAGTCCCTATGTGTTGTGGCTGTCCATGAGGTGTAGTCCTGTGTGCTTTTCCTCCTACCTCTGGTGAGGTTTTGTTTTCACCCCTAACATCCAGATATTCCTTGTGCCCAGTTTGTACTGTTGGAAAGACCTGAATCTCACTCCATACTGATGTCAGTGACGTGCTGTCCCAAACATCTGAGGCCTCAAAACACCTTTATTTTGATTTACAATTCCACCACAACCCTTGATGTGACTCCAAAGGTGGAACTGCACCTTCCTGATTGAATTCATTTGGTGCCCAGCACTGAGGCAGGTCGCAGCATCCCCCTTCCTGTGACATTGGCTTCTAAAGAGTTTCCTGTTCTTTCCCCAGCCTTTTGAGGCACTAGGACAAAACCGAGCAGGACTGGGGCATTCCTATCTCTCTTTCTTGCATCCTTCCAGGAGCATCAGGGTTGCCCACATGACGCACAGCAAACCTGAAATTGGAGCTGGTAGATTTGTGAACCTCAAGCTTGGAGAGCCTCTGCCTGAACTAAGCAATTATTCTCTCTCTTTAGCCTCACTATTACAGTTTAGGCTGAATGGTGGTTGGAAGTGAGAGACTTGTGACTTTTTTTCTCAGTAGAAAGGGACTTTTTCTTGAGCAAGCAGTGCTCTGATAGGAGTCAAAAGTTTCTCTCACTCCAGAAATTGTCTGGGGAAGAGGGTGATTCATTTGCAGACCCTTGACTAAGCTAAAGAAAATATTACTTACATATCTGAGGAGTATTTTGCCTTCAGGATGTATGGACATATGAAAAATAAATTCCCAATAAATTGTGTGTTACTGTGGGTGAACACAGGTTGAATCACCTCATTTTCCAGTACAGCACATTTTAAACATGTAGTGGATGTGTTGGCTATACTCTCAATACCTCTGTGTGTGTTTAAAAATCATGTGAGATCTTTGCTAACATCCTTGAAGATAATCTAGCTGGATACTGGGAGTAGAACTGTTGCAAGAATGCCCATTTTATTGTAGATAATTGCGTGTTACTTTATCTCTTTCGTGGCACTGGTTCTAGTTTGGCTTTCTACCTTAAAAAATGTAATTAGAAAAACCATGAATTAAAGATTCTGATAACAGAACTCCTTTTCTTCCTCCTCTCCATCTGGAATACCTGCAGCCATACTCCATTTATCAGATCCTGCCATCAAAGGTTAATTTGCAACTGCCCAAATGGGTTGTGGAGGGATTTTTTTTGGTGTGTCTTTTAGCTTGCAGGAGTCACTCAGAGGCTTGAGGTGAAAGAAGCCCTCTCTGTGTTAATTTTCTGTTTGCACTTTTGCTCTGAAGAAAAGCCCTGGCCCTGTTTGTGGGGCAAACTGTGGCCGGGGCAGGGAAGCTGTGGCTGCTTTGGGAAGCTGTGCCTGAAAGCATCCAGGCAGGTCACAGCAAGGTCACTCCACACGTCCCAGGAAATGATGCAAAACTAATCCAGATTTGCTGGTGGAAGGAGATGTTTACATAAGTATTTAAAAACAGATTAGGGCTAACCTGACACTAGATTACTGGGAGCAGTGTAAACACGGCTGAAAGGCGTAAACAGAGCTTGGCCTTTTGTACTCCAGAGGAGAGAATCTGTCACCAGGACCCAGTTGCCTGGCTCAGGTGATGTTTGTGGTTTTCACAGGCTGAGCAGATTACCTGAGGGACCTCTAAATGGGACTTTTTTGTCTGGGGCTGCTGCTCTCAGATCATGTAATTGTATGGTAATTTTTGAAATGGCGAGCGGAGGGCCTTGTTTGTAGTCCTTGTTCTGCTGTAACCTGATAGCACCAGAAAGCCTCTGATGGTTCTTTGATATGTCAGGAGGAAAAGGTGCTTCAAAGCACTGGTTTGAATTTTGGGAAAACAAAGAGGAATCATCCTTATACCTTTGGGAGCATTACTCAGCTTGGAGGGGGACAAAGCCCCCATTTGGTTACTTCTGGTCTGGGATACAGAAATTGGGTGCATTTTTTTGCAGTGTGTTCTCAGCCTTAAAGTGGAACCTGGCTGCTCGTTGTGTCTTGGTGACACCGAGGGCTCTTGCTGGCCCAGGGCTTTTTAGGCCCTCCTGGCTGTTGTGATCCTACAACCCCATGGGCACAGCATCCATCAAGGAACAGTAAGGTGGACAACACAAATATTGCTAAAAATACAAGGTTTGGGTGAAGTGCTCCTAAGGTTTGGGTGAACTGTTCCTGTAAGGGCTTCCTTGACATAAATTTGAAAGGGGAAACGACCTCCTTGTTGGCTGCGACACCAGGTGAGAGTGACCTGTCCCCTCTGGCTTCCCTAGGGAAGAAAAAGAGCTCTGGATACGCGCCAAGTACGAGCAGAAGCTCTTCCTCGCCCCGCTGCAGTGCCTGGAGCTCTCTCTGGGCCAGCACCTGCTGCGGGCCACGGCCGAGGAGGACTTGCGGGCGGTGATCCTGCTGCTGGCCCACGGCACCCGCGAGGAGGTGAACGAGACCTGCGGCGACGGCGACGGGCGCACGGCGCTGCACCTGGCCTGCCGCAAGGGCAACGTGGTGCTGCTGCAGCTCCTCATCTGGGTAAGGACTCGCCGCGGCGCTGGGCTGTGGCCCTCGGGGGGACGGGCCGCGGCTGCTCCTGCAGGGCTTCACGGCTTCACCGTGGCCTCAGGGTGGCTGTTCCTCACTGCACGCTTTCAAAGGGTGGTGGAAAAGCAGGTTTCTGCCTCTCTGCTGCTTGTTGGAAAGCGAAAAAAAATGAAAAATTACGGACTTGAGGCAAAATTGTGGTCGAAAAACAAGCCTCCAGGTGGAAGCACAGGAATATTGACCAGCTTCTCCTCTTTGGTGGTGTTGTCCTTTTGTACTTTGTTGTTTTCTAGGCCTTTGAGCATCAGGGGGAGGGAATCTTTCTCCAGCCAGCCTAGGCTGACTGCTCCAGACACAGCTGATTCCCTTCCCACTGAGATACTGCTAAATATTTGATTTTTTATTTTTAATTCAGAAAAGGTGTCTGTTTGAACTGCCATTTCTCCACCATTCCTGACATTTGGTACTTACAGGTGGTCCCTCAGGGAGGGGACAGCCCAGCGTGGGAAAGGAGGAAGGAGAGATTCCCTTAGCTTGGAATCTGCTGGGGCAGATTTTGTCCCACACAAGAGCCTCCCTCTATTTAGAAACGTCTTTTCCGTACGTGGCCCAGCGCTGCCGTGCTCGTGTTGTCAGGCTGCTCCCTCACCCTCCCTCTCATCCAATCCCAAACCCCTTCCCAAAATTCTCACACCACAGCTCCCCTCTTGTTTCCCCTCACACCCAATCCCAAAGCCCCTCCCGGAATTTTCACACCACAGCTCCCCTCCTGTTTGCCCGCAGTACGGCGTGGACGTGATGGCGCGCGACGCCCACGGGAACACGGCGCTGGCCTACGCCCGCCAGGCCTCCAGCCAGGAGTGCATCGACGTGCTGCTGCAGTACGGCTGCCCCGACGAGCGCTTCGCCCTCATGGCCACCCCGAACCTGTCCAGGAAGAACAACCGCAACAACAGCGGCGGGAGGATGCCCACCATCATCTGAGGGGAGCTCGGTGGCGCCTTCGCTGAGCCGAGCCGCATCCGCAGCCTCACATTCCTCCATGCCCATCGCAGCTCCGCTCTGTGAGTCCGGTACCTCTCCTTCTCCCTCTTCCCTTCGGCCCATCCCGAGCGCCAGGCGGAGCGTGGGGGGCCGAGGAGGAGCGCGGGGGCTGCGGGCAGGCCGTTGTTTTGGGGGACGGGCCGCGCGTGGCGCCGGCACTGGCACCGCCCGGGGGACACGCGGCACCGCCGGGGCAGAGGCGAGCCGGAGCAGAAGGAAGGAAGGAAGGAAAGGAAGGAAGGAAGGAAGGAGAGACGGTGACTTTCCCTAAGTGACAGTGAAGCACATCAGAACATTTCACCTCTACGGAACGCGGCGACGCCTGGATTTCCATTCTCTTCTCCTGAAGAGCTTGACGGCATAAATCAGAAGCAAGCACAGAGTTTGTCAGGTTTGAAGCTCCTATGATGGTATGTGTCAAATCAGTTGTAGCTAATCTGTCCGGGGAGAATACTGGCTTCATTACACTTGTATAGTTGAGTTCTTCCAGCATTACTGCTGTTTAATAGAACATGATTAGTCATCACGGAGAAAAAAGCATATTAGCTGAGGAGGTAGTTACATGGCACGCTTCGGTGATTGCTTGGATGTGATTGCAATATTCTTAGAAGCATCATATTATCTCAGACATGTTCTTTCGAGCCCTTGGAGCCCTCCTTTCTAAATTCACTGTCATAATTTAGTATCTGTTTAATTTTTCAGTCCAAAGAGAGGAAATGAGTTGCTGAGTGTTATTTGACTGCAGTCTCCTTGGTGTAAAAACAAAATGGAAAAAATAAATAAGAGTAAGCCTGAAACACAAAAAGGAATAATGAATACCGCTATGGAAAACAACATTTCAAGTACGTTTGGTGAAATTAATAAATGCATTAAAGGCTAATTTTTTTTTTTGTTACGTTTTCAGCCAGCAGAAATAGGTTCTGTCATTTTGCCAAGGTAAATTGTGTTGAGTTTTTGGTCACTCCTGTGATGCATTGCCTAACTTATACAGATTTTTGTATTGTGTCTCTAGATTCTATGTATTTAAAATCTATTTGAATAAAAAAAAAGACCATAAATATACATTGATTTTTTTTTTGTACAGAAAATAACATCTCTGTTAATTTATAAACTGTAATGGATGTGAACTAAATAATGTGCAACTAGTTAGGATCTGTGGGTTGCAGATCATTATTGTACATCGATAATATTCCCAGCAGTGAACTCTTCTTTCCAAAGCCTGTGAGGAACAACATATCAGAAGGAGATCAGGGAAAAAAAAAAAAAAAGAAAAAGCATGTGAGACCTTTTAGAAAGGAGAAAAGAGGCTGTTCCTCAGCGCTGTAAATATATTTTACTCCAGAAGTCAGGAAGCTTTCACAAGCCAAGACAAAAAGCCCCATTCTGGCTGGGGGAAGATCAGATTTGATTAAGTTCAGAATTGATAGCCTTCACCGCGCGGGCAGGGCACGGCTGCGCTCCCTCCCAGCCCCGCTGCTTTCCGCAAGAAAAATGGCTTGTGCAAGTGGCCTGGACAGTTCATTTCAATTCCAAGTTTTAATACTTGGTTGCGTTGTTTTGGTCTTGCATCCCAGCTTCTCCTGCTTCCCACTGGCAGGATTCTGGCGTGGGGAAGCAGAGGTTTTGGCAGGCAGAAAAGTGATTTTTTTTTAATTTTCTTTTTTCTTCAGAAGTGGCATATGGCAGTGTGGGGATGGGGGCATGGTTTATCATGGAGAAAGTTGAAAACTCAACTGAATTTGATGGCAAAGGAGCAATTATGTGAAGGCAGTGAGGTGCACACAGCAATTTGCAGATCTACCTGCTCCTGTGTATTTCCCAGGCCTTTGGTGGTGCTCTTCCTTGGGGCTCTGGGTTTCACTCAGCACACAAATGGGAGGAGCAGTTGCTAAACAAACTCAATGTGGACAAAATGCAAAGGAAGAAATGCCATGTGGTTATCTTAAGGAAAGCCAAAAAAATTGAAAAATTACGGATTTGAGGCAAAATTGTGGTCGAAAAACGAGCCTCGAGGTGGAAGCACAGGAATATTGACCAGCTTCTCCTCTTTGGTGGTGTTGTCCTTTTGTACTTTGTTGTTTTCTAGACCTTTGGGTATCAGGGGAAGGGAATTGTTCTCCAGCCAGCCTAGGCTGACTGCTCCAGACACAGCTGATTCCCTTCCCACTGGGATACCTCTAAATATTTGATTTTTTATTTTTAATTCAGAAAAGGTGTCTGTTTGAACTGCCGTTTCTCCACCATTCCTGACATTTGGTACTTACAGGTGGTCCCTCAGGGAGGGGGCAGCCCAGCTGATGTGCAGCTGAAGGGGATGCTGTGAAACCCTCTCTGTGTGCTGGTGCTCAGGAGCTTTGCCACAGCAGGGATTCGGGAATGGCCATCCCAGAGGTGCTAGAGCTGCCTCCTGTTCCCCCCAGGAGCATCCAGGGCATTTCTATCCCAAAAACCAAGTCCAGTGTTTCAAACCCAGGGTGGGCATGGTTCAAAGTGCACATTCCATTTCAGAGCTGGGTTTTTTTCCTAATGAGATAATTTTCTGTACATGGTTTAATGCTCTCTTTGGGCCACCTTCCTCTGACAAGGCTGGGTTTGAGAAACAAGGGCAACCTGGCAGATTGCAGGTAGACAAATTTCATGGTCCTTTCCTAAAAATCTTCTGAGGGCAACCCTTGGAAAAGCACAGAATATTTTTAGGAGAGGAAATTCCAGTATATCACAGGAAAAATTACGCATCCAGGCAAGCCAAGTGATGCTTTAATTAAGTGGTAGCACATTGCTTTTAACCTAAACGTGGTTTTCCCCTAAGTGTTGGCAGAACTGTATTAAAGTGTGAGTGTGGGGGTCTGTGGGGAGGATTCCCAGCCCTGCCCGTGGCAGAGCTCCCTTGGAAGGTTCAGGAGATCCCAGAATATCCTGAGCTGGAAGGGACCTGCCAGGTGAGGTCACCCAGGGTGGGGGACAGGGGGAAAGGCTTTGCAGGGTGGGGGACAGGGGGAAAGGCAGGGGGTGGAGAGAGCTCTCCTTGGCTGGATCCTGGTGGGGCTTGGCTTGGAGAGGCTTTCCAGGAGATGTGTTTGCACTTTGCAGAGGCTGCTCTTGCAGCCATCCAGGTGCAGAATCAGGCAACGTCTCCTGGCACTTGTAGATCCCACAGGAATTGTGGTTCCTGGTGCTTCCACTCCATTCTCCCACACCTTTCCCGCTCCTTAGCTCGTGTTTAGCCACTCTTTGCTTTTTTGGAACCCTTTTGCCAGGCTGTTCACACCCTTTGAGCATATTGGGAACAAAACAAGCCCTAGCTGTGACCCAGTCCATGAGAAACCCCAGCAGAAGCCCGGCAGCCAAAGCTGTTTTCTCTGGAAACGGAGTCTGTGGCAGTGGGTGGCATTGCACCTCACTTAACCCTCCCTCTCATCCCAGGAACCTTGAAATCCCCCTTCCTCTGCACTTTATCCATGACTAAAACACCAGGAGCAGGTCAGCCACTGGTGTTTCCTTGTTTCCATTGGTGTTTCCATAGCTCCTCCTCTCTTTGGCTGATTGCTGTGGAATTCAGTCAGATGTGTCACAGCTGAACCTGAACATTGCCAGGACAATTCACTTTTCCTTGCTGTTCATGAAAAAAAAAGACCCAACCTTGGGAAAATTCAGGGTCCTGCCCTGAATGCAGAGATTTGACCAAGAGCTCCCATTACCAGATTTCCAGTTTTGGTGGTAAAAAAAGGAGCAGGGAAAAAGGGAAAGCTTGGAGAACCTCGGTGCTGCTCGGAAAGCCGGGTGAGCTCCTGGAGAGGATTTTGAAGCCTTTGGGTGCAGTGTAAAATAACTGTGTACACATTAGCATTGTTTAATTCCCTGTCTTGTCCCCCTTCCCTTAAATTATGTGTGTTAGTGCAAGAAAAAGAAGAAGCTTTAGCTGCACTTGGAGATTTCCCTGGGCCAGAGAAGGCCGAGTCACGTAGGGAGAGGAGTCGAGGTGGGAACGCAGATCCGGGTTTGGAAGTGATCTCCGGCACTGTAATGTAGAATAATTAGATTATATGGGGTTGGAATAGCTTCAGCTTTTATATTTGTATGGAGATCGGGAGAAATGAAGTAATTTGTAGTTTCTAGTATAAAGTAGTGGTAGTGGAGACAAGCACAGATTTCACAAGGGGGTCCCCAAGGGACCCTTCCCAAACGTCTCGGGGAGCCGCCTTTGCACCTTAACAGGGATGGTTTTTGGGGTTTGTTGTTGGTGAAATGGTCATTTCATGTTTGGTTACGTGGTTGTTGTCAGAGGGGGGACTCCAGGGGAGCATTGGGGACCAAACTTTGGGGCAGCTTGGCTGGAGAGGAGACAACTTGCCCATCCTCATCTCACCGTCAGGCATCCTTCCCCCTCCTGGGGCTGCTACAGCGATCCTATCCTTAGGTGGGATCTCTGCCTGTGGATCCTCAGTTCCACACCTTCCATTCTTGAGGGTTTGTGGGTAAAATTTAGAAAATTTTAGAAAACCCAGGTTTGGACGTTCTGGTGTTTGCTGCACAACAGGAAAAGAAACAAAACCCCTCCGGAGTAAAGTTCTTTTCAAGGTAGAAAAGAAACACTGAACTACCCCAAATTAAGAGGTTCTGCAAGGAGTTTTGAGTTCCAAGCTACCAAAAAAAGAAGGTTGGCTTGAATGGTTTTATTGGAAAATAATAATAGAGCTCATAGAGCAAAACATCCAGAGCTGTAGATGGGTGAAATTTGTTGGTTTAGGATGTTTGTAGGTTTTGCTTTGTTGTTTAGCATGGGCCAGTTTTTACAGTAAATACTGGGACAGTTTACCTTGAGTTGACTGAGTCTGTCCCAGCTTTAAAGGGAGGTTTGAGGGCTTTTGGCCAGGATTGTCAGGAGCTGTGAATAGTTCACATTTAGAGAGGGGAATTGCATGATTTCTGAAAAGTAAAAGGTGGGTTTGGGGTTTTTTTTAGGGCCATCTTCAGCCCCAAATCGCCAAGCATGTTTCTGGCCCCATGTTTCATTTCAGGGTGACAGCAAGATGTGGGTGAATGAGCTCCCATCGTTGACTACCATGTTCAGGGGGGAGAACTTTTGCTTGTGGGTGGATAAAATAAAGCTGTCTTTGTGCATTTCAGCAGTTTTAAGCTCTTCATCTCCCCGTGCCTGCCTGTGTCCCAAACCCCCGTGGCACACTGGGTTCTGTTGGCAGGCAGAGCCTCAGCTTCCCCTCAGCCATGGATTTCCTGGATGTGGTTTTTTTAGCTTCCAGTGCTAAGGACTGGCTGTTTTGCAGTGCTTCAGAGCTACTCATTTTTACGTCTGTGTGTTCTGTACAGAATGTGGAGGGGGGTGGGTGGGGGACACCTCAGAGGTCTCATGGCATGCCTTGGGGACAGTGGCCACCTTGCTTGCTGGCAGTGAATGCACCCTGCTCTCCCCCTCTTTCCAGAGCTGATCCTTGTGGCTTTTTTGTTGTTCCTGAGAGCTGAAGTAGCTGAAAACACTTCCCTGGTCCTCAGGAATTGCAGGGTACGAGGAGGAAAACCCCTCACAGAGACAGCCCAGCCACATCTCTGTGCTGAAGGCAAACCCCAAACCCCTCCTGCAGGACCCAAGAAGGGTTTTGGTGCTGAATGTGGCATTTTTTGGCACCTGCATCCCAAAAGCAGGGGTGGAGCTGAGCTGAAGCAGTAGGTAAAGTGCAGCCAGGGTGTCCTGAGCCCTCAGGTGTCACCTGGGGCTCACTCTGCACGTGCTGTGTGTGCTGGAGCCTGCTCCTCTCCCTGCTGTCAGGGACTGTGGCAATGCCCTGATCACCATCGGGAGCTGGAGCCAGCCTCTGGCTGGGGGTTTCCCAGCTGGAGTCAGACCAGCCACTTCCAGGGTGGGGGACACTGGCTCCAGGGGTGGAGAGGTGCAGGGAGATGAGGTCCAGGCTTGCTGCAGCCTCAGAGGTTTCCCAAAAATCCAGCTCCTCCAGGCAGCAGCACGCAGCTTGAGACAACCTTGGCCTCCAGGGCTGGAGGGGAGACATCCCTCCCTTGCTGGAGAGGGGAAATCCCAGCTCGCCAGCCCTGCGGGTGCAAAGCTCCAGGGAAGGAGATTCTGAAGGTGGAAAGGACAGAGTCTTGCATTTCAGAGGCTCTTTTTAATATCAGTTTGCTTGAGACTCATCTTTCTGGCTGATCCTGGGTGTGGGACCAGTGAGCTGCCAGGGATTCAGTGGCCCTTGGGGTCCTGCTGCCTTTTGGGGAGATGTTTCCCAGTGAGATGTTC